CCAGTCCCGCCAGGCTGGATCTCTGGGAATCATCTTTGGGAATTCCCAGTCCCTCCCCTTTGGATCTCTGGGAATCACCTCTGGGAATTCCCAGTCCCGCCAGGCTGGATCTCTGGGAATTCCCAGTCCCGCCAGGCTGGATCTCTGGGAATTCCCAGTCCCGCCAGACTGGATCTCTGGGAATCATCTCTGGGAATTCCCAGTCCCTCCCCTTTGGATTTTCAGGAATTCCCAGTCCCGCCAGTTTGGATCTCTGGGAAATCCCAGTCCGTCCCGTTTGGATCTTCGGGAATCTCCAGTTTGGATCTTCGGGAATTCCCAGTCCCTCCCCTTTGGATATTTGGGAATTCCCAGTCCCTCCCCTTTGGATCTTTGGGAATCTCCAGTTTGGATTTTCAGGAATTCCCAGTCCCTCCAGTTCGGATTTTTGGGAATCTCCAGTTTGGATTTTTTTGGGAAATCCCAATACCTCCAGTTTGGATTTTTGGGAATTCCCAGTACCTCCAGTTTGGATTTTTGGGAATCTCCAGTTTGGATTTTTTTGGGAATTCCCAGTCCCTCCAGTTTGGATTTTCAGGAATTCCCAGTACCTCCAGTTTGGATTTTTGGGAATTCCCAGTCCCTCCAGTTTGGATTTTTGGGAATTCCCAGTACCTCCAGTTTGGATTTTTGGGAATCTCCAGTTTGGATTTTTTTGGGAATTCCCAGTACCTCCAGTTTGGATTTTTGGGAATTCCCAGTACCTCCAGTTCGGCCGCTTTCTCCCGGAGCTGTTCCCACTTTTCCCGCTCTTCCTGGGATTCCTCCAGCTGCGATTCCAGAACTTTCCGTGCCTCCTCTGATGCCTCCAGTGCCGATCCAAGGGAAATCTGGGCCTTGGGGGTTTGGGGGAATTTTGGGGGGATTTTTGAGGAATTTTGGGGGATTTTGCAGGCTTTTTGGGGGGATTTTGTGGGAATTCTTTTTAAATTCTTGGGGCAATTTTGGCAGAGCCCACAATGAGCGAATCTGGGACCCCAAATTCTGAAAAATTCCCCCAAAATTTCCAAAAACTTCCCGATTCCTGGGATTTCCTCCTCTTACCTGGGCAGCCTCGTCCCGCTCCCCCCGAAGCTTTTCCAGATCCTTCCGGCCCTGCTCCAGCTCCTGGGAGAAATCCCAAATTTTGGGGGAAGAATAATGGATTTTTGGGGAAAAATCCCGAATCTTGGGGGAAAAAAAAATTCCTACATTTTGGGCAAAAAAATCCCAGATTTGGGGATAGAACTCCCCGGATTTCTCCCACCTTCCGGAGCTTTTCCAGCTCCTGGGGGTCGCTCCGATCCCGATCCTCCCGCGCCGCCTGGAATCGCTCCCGGAGCTCCCGGAGCTCCTCCTCCAACTCCTCCCGCTCCAGCTGCACCTGCAGCAGCCTGGAAAACCCAACAATTCCCAAAATCCCCGACCCTGTTTCGTTGGGATTTGGAGTGGAAAATCCTGGAAAATCCCAGAACTGGGAGCTCCAGATCCGCCCCCATCCCCCTTTTTTGGGTTTTGGGGGTGGAAAATCCCAGAGAATTCACATATTTGAGGCTTCCCAAATCCCGCAGCACTCCCCAGGCCCAGTTTTTTGGGATTCAGAGTGGAAAACCCCAGAAAATTCCCAATTTTTTTGGGATACGGCTTGGAAAACGTCAGAAAATCCCAAATTTCGGGTCTCCCCAAGGCACAAGACTCACTCCTGCTTGGAATTCCGGAGCTCTTCCTTGTTTTTCTGGAACATTTCCCGCCACTGCTCCGTCTCCTCTGTGCTCTCCTCCAGCTCCCGCCGCAGATTCCGGAGCTGCATTCCCAAGTTTTCCCGTTCCTGCTCCAGGCTGGATTTCTCCTGCAAGGAATTTACAAGATTCTCCAAAAAAAATTCCCTGGGAATTCGAGCCAAAATATCCACGGAATCGGTGCCGAGTCCGTGGAAATCCCAGAGCGATTCCTCCCAGTTTTTCCCGTGTTCCGCCGGGGATTTTTCCCGCATTTCAGAGGTTTGGAACACGGGGGGAAGGCTGGAATTCCCAGCAGCATCCCGAATTCCCGTCGCGAATTCCCACCTGTGCCGCTCGCTCCGTTTCTGCCCGGAGCGCCTCCACCTCGCTCCGGAGCCGCTCCAGGTGGGAATCGTGCGCGGCCACCTCGGCCTTCAGGGCGCCCCGGAGCGCCTGCAGCTCCCGCTCCCGGCGCCGCAGCTGCTCCCGGCACTCCTGCAGCTCCTGGGGTGGGAAAAGTTGGGATTCGGGATGGGGAAACCCGCTGGGAATGGGAAATCTGGGATTCGGGATGGGGGAAACCCGNGGATCTCTGGGAATCATCTCTGGGAATTCCCAGTCCCGCCAGGCTGGATCTCTGGGAATCATCTCTGGGAATTCCCAGTCCCTCCCCTTTGGATCTCTGGGAATCACCAGTCCCGCCAGTTTGGATCTTTGGGAATTCCCAGTTCGGCCAGTTTGGATCTTTGGGAATTCCCAGTTCGGCCAGTTTGGATCTTTGGGAATTCCCAGTTCGGCCAGTTTGGATCTCTGGGAATTCCCAGTCCCGCCAGGCTGGATCTCTGGGAATCACCTCTGGGAATTCCCAGTCCCGCCAGTTTGGATCTTTGGGAATTCCCAGTCCCGCCAGGCTGGATCTCTGGGAATCACCTCTGGGAATTCCCAGTCCCTCCCCTTTGGATCTCTGGGAATCATCTCTGGGAATTCCCAGTCCCTCCCCTTTGGATCTTTGGGAATCATCTCTGGGAATTCCCAGTCCCTCCCCTTTGGATCTTTGGGAATTCCCAGTCCTGCCAGTTTGGATCTCTGGGAATTCCCAGTCCCGCCAGGCTGGATCTCTGGGAATCATCTTTGGGAATTCCCAGTCCCGCCAGTTTGGATCTCTGGGAATTCCCAGTCCCGCCAGTTTGGATCTTTGGGAATCATCTTCGGGAATTCCCAGTCCCGCCAGTTTGGATCTTTGGGAATCATCTTTGGGAATTCCCAGTCCCGCCAGTTTGGATCTCTGGGAATCACCAGTCCCTCCCCTTTGGATCTTTGGGAATTCCCAGTTCGGCCAGTTTGGATCTTCGGGAATTCCCAGTCCCGCCAGTTTGGATCTTTGGGAATCATCTTTGGGAATTCCCAGTCCCTCCAGTTTGGATTTTCAGGAATTCCCAGTCCCTCCAGTTTGGATTTTTGGGAATCTCCAGTTTGGATTTTTTTGGGAATTCCCAGTCCGTCCAGTTTGGATTTTTGGGAATTCCCAGTACCTCCAGTTTGGATTTTTGGGAATTCCCAGTACCTCCAGTTCGGCTGCTTTCTCCCGGAGCTGTTCCCACTTTTCCCGCTCTTCCTGGGATTCCTCCAGCTGTGATTCCAGAACTTTCCGTGCCTCCTCTGATGCCTCCAGTGCCGATCCAAGGGAAATCTGGGCCTTGGGGTTTGGGGGAATTTTGGGGGGGATTTTTGAGGAATTTTGGGGGATTTTGCAGGCTTTTTGGGGGGATTTTGTGGGAATTCTTTTTAAATTCTTGGGGCAATTTTGGCAGCGCCCACAATGAGCGAATCTGGGACCCCAAATTCTGAAAAATTCCCCCAAAATTTCCAAAAACTTCCCGATTCCTGGGATTTCCTCCTGTTACCTGGGCAGCCTCGTCCCGCTCCCCCCGAAGCTTTTCCAGATCCTTCTGGCCCTGCTCCAGCTCCTGGGAGAAATCCCAAATTTTGGGGGAAGAATAATGGATTTTTGGGGAAAAATCCCGAATCTTGGGGGAAAAAAAATTCCTAAATTTTGGGCAAAAAAACCCCAGATTTGGGGATAGAACTCCCCGGATTTCTCCCACCTTCCGGAGCTTTTCCAGCTCCTGGGGGTCGCTCCGATCCCGATCCTCCCGCGCCGCCTGGAATCGCTCCCGGAGCTCCCGGAGCTCCTCCTCCAACTCCTCCCGCTCCAGCTGCACCTGCAGCAGCCTGGAAAACCCAACAATTCCCAAAATCCCCTCCATCCCAAAATCCCCGACCCTGTTTCGTTGGGATTTGGAGTGGAAAATCCTGGAAAATCCCAGAACTGGGAGCTCCAGATCCGCCCCCATCCCCCTTTTTTGGGGTTTTGGGGGTGGAAAATCCCAGAGAATTCACATATTTGAGGCTTCCCAAATCCCGCAGCACTCCCCAGGCCCAGTTTTTTGGGATTCAGAGTGGAAAACCCCAGAAAATTCCCAGTTTTTTTGGGATAGGACTTGGAAAACCTCAGAAAATCCCAAATTTCGGGTCTCCCCAAGGCACAAGACTCACTCCTGCTTGGAATTCCGGAGCTCTTCCTTGTTTTTCTGGAACATTTCCCGCCACTGCTCCGTCTCCTCTGTGCTCTCCTCCAGCTCCCGCCGCAGATTCCGGAGCTGCATTCCCAAGTTTTCCCGTTCCTGCTCCAGGCTGGATTTCTCCTGCAAGGAATTTACAAGATTCTCCAAAAAAAATTCCCTGGGAATTCAAGCCAAAATATCCACGGAATCGGTGCCGAGTCCGTGGAAATCCCAGAGCGATTCCTCCCAGTTTTTCCCGTGTTCCGCCGGGGATTTTTCCCACATTTCAGAGGTTTGGAACACGGGGGGAAGGCTGGAATTCCCAGCAGCATCCCGAATTCCCGTCGCGAATTCCCACCTGTGCCGCTCGTTCCGTTTCTGCCCGGAGCGCCTCCACCTCGCTCCGGAGCCGCTCCAGGTGGGAATCGTGCGCGGCCACCTCGGCCTTCAGGGCGCCCCGGAGCGCCTGCAGCTCCCGCTCCCGGCGCCGCAGCTGCTCCCGGCACTCCTGCAGCTCCTGGGGTGGGAAAAGTTGGGATTCGGGATGGGGAAACCCGCTGGGAATGGGAAATCCGGGATTCGGGATGGGGGAAACCCGCTGGGAATGGGAAATCCGGGATTCGGGATGGGGGAAACCCGCTGGGAATGGGAAATTTGGGATTCGGGATGGGGGAAACCCGCTGGGAATGGGAAATCCGGGATTCGGGATGGGGGAAACCCGCTGGGAATGGTAAATCTGGGATTCGGGATGGGGGAAACCCGCTGGGAATGGTAAATCTGGGATTCGGGATGGGGAAAACCTGCAAAAGCTGCTGGGAATGGGAAATCTGGGATTCGGGATGGGGGAAACCCACTGGGGATGGGAAATCTGGGATTCGGGATGGGGAAAACCCGCTGGGAATGGGAAATCTGGGATTCGGGATGGGGGAAACCTGCAAAAGCTCCTGGAGCTGCTCCCGGCACTCCTGCAGCTCCTGGGGTGGCAAAAGTTGGGATTCGGGATGGGGAAACCCGCTGGGAATGGGAAATCTGGGATTCGGGATGGGGGAAACCCGCTGGGAATGGGAAATCTGGGATTCGGGATGGNGGGATTCGGGATGGGGGAAACCCGCTGGGAATGGGAAATCTGGGATTCGGGATGGGGGAAACCCGCTGGGAATGGGGAATTTGGGATTCGGGATGGGGGAAACCCGCTGGGAATGGGAAATTTGGGATTTGGGATGGGGAAAACCTGCAAAAGCTGCTGGGAATGGGAAATCTGGGATTCAGGATGGGGGAAAACCTGCAAAAGCTGCTGGGAATGGGAAATCTGGGATTCGGGATGGGGGAAACCCACAAGAGCTCCTGGGGATGGGAAATCTGGGATTTGGGATGGGGGAAACCCACAAGAGCTCCTGGAGCTGCTTCCGGCACTCCTGCAGCTCCTGGGGATGGGAAATCTGGGATTTGGGATGGGGGAAAACCATCAAAAGCTCCTCAGAATGGGAAATCTGGGATTCGGGATGGGGGAAACCCGCAAAAGCTGCTGGAGCTGCTCCCGACACTCCTGCAGCTCCTGGGATGGGAAATTTGGGATTCGGGATGGGGAAAACCATCAAAAGCTGCTGGGAATGGGAAATCTGGGATTTGGGATGTGAAAACCCTCACAAGCTCCTGGAGCTGCTCCCGGCACTCCTGCAGCTCCTGGCAATGGGAAAACTTGGGGAAATGGGAAAATTGGGACTTGGGATGTGGCTGTGACCCCAAAACCTCTTCCAGCTGCTCCTGGCATTCCTGGAAATCCTGGGAATGGGGAAATTGGTACTTGGGGATGGCAAAAAATCCCAAAGCCTCCTCAAGTCTACCCAGGATTCCAGGAGTTCCTGGGAACGGCAAATTCGGGAT